TTGGTAGATCTTATATGGACTTCTCTTGGCAACTTGTTTTTCACTGCATATCTTGTAGTATGCTTGGTAATTCCTGAGGTAGGATGGGGATCTGGTGATTTATCTAAAAACTGCATGTGGAATCAGGGTAACTGATCTAGCTCATTCCCACAACTACTAGAGGAAAAAGATAGGAAAGACTAGTTCAGATGCACAAGCCTCTGAAGCCCGGACAAAAACACCTCCCCACCGTGATGTAGGAGGCCAACTAGGCCACGGCCACCATGGCCAGGCCCACCCAGCAACTGGGCAGAGAACCCCTTTTTGAAGCCCACTTCTGTTAACTGGTTGTGCTTCATAATGTAAAAAAAATGATTTTATGTATCAGGCCAGAGTTGCTTGAAAGGTGACCGGGATGGTGGACTTATGGCACGCGTGCCGCAGGCGGCACACGGAGCCATTTGTCAGGGCACGCGAGGTGTTGCCCTGTCAGCTGGCCAGCATGCATGCACATACTGGCCAGCTGAGTTCAGCCTTTTTTAATGCCATTTTTCGCCCTCCCCAGGTTCCAGAGGCTTTATAGGAGCCTGGGTAGGGTGAAAAGAGCCTTCTCCCCCCACGAAGGCTGTGAAGCCTCTGGAGCGCAAAAAAACCAGCCCTACGGGCAAACTGGAAGTTCAGGAACGGACTTCCGGTTTGCTCGTAGGGTCGGTTTAAGCCCTCCAGAGGCTTCAGGGACCTTCAGGCGGCTTCCCTGAAGCCTCCAGAGGACTAAAAACAACCCTACGAGCAAACCAGAAGTCTGTTTTTTGCCCTCCAGAGGCTTCAGGGAATCCCCCTGAGGGTCCCTAAAGCCTCCGGAGAGCCTCCAGGGGGGGGCGGGGGAGGCTGTTTTTGCTCTCCCCTGGCTCCTATAAAGCCTCTGAAGCCTGGGGAGGGCGAAAAAAGCATGCAAAAATGGGGGGTTGCGCCTCTCATACGCGCATGCGCACTGGGGGATCGCACGTTGCAATATGAGTGCGGCATGGCCACGCATGACCCCCTGCCCTCCCCCCACCTATGGCATGCGAGCCAAAAAGGGTTCGCCATCGCTGAGCTATATCAATCAAACAAACGAACAAAATACCCTTCTAGACTGCCCATGAGCTTTAGAAATGAGAGTTTTACTAGGGTCCTCTTCCTTTTGAGTGGATGTTTCACTAAGTAGTGATGGAGAAAAGAGAACTTCCAGGGCCTTCCATTACCGATGCCAGGGAGGTTGGTTTGGTGATTGGTTCCTCTTATTTTATATCTACAAGAAGCCATTGTAGATTTTATATCTACAAGATTGGTTCCTCTTATTTTATATCTACAAGAAGCCATTGTAGATTTTATATCTACAAGATTGGTTCCTCTTATTTTATATCTACAAGAAGCCATTGAGCGAGATCATTT